GTAAACTTTCACGCGTGATATTGTGCTTTTATGTGTACCAATCGACGTCACAAACATAAAATTCCCTTCTATCGACTATCAGAAAACTGACGTGTTTGTATTTTCCGCCATAACAAAGCAGAAGTACTTTTGTAATATTTTTTTTTCAGTAGCACTTGCAATGATCCAGAACACAACGCCATCCAAAACCGAAAGAAAATTTGGAGACAAATATTAAATAATCAGACTTTATTTCACAGAGATAGCTTGTACTAAAACTTCTAATTATGTGAAAATGTGGTTGAGAAATATAAAAAAAATAAAGAATTAAGGTGGGTAAGAATCATCATGAAACAAAAACATGGATCTAAAAAAATCTTGTTTAAGTTCCATGATTTTATTAGTACCGGACTGTAGTGCATGTCTTCTAATATTCTGAAGCTTATACTGGGAAATGATATCCATTGTCTGTGGTCTAGGTGCCGGCGTCTCCTGTTACATTTCCCCATATTCTCATTTATTTGCCGTATTCGTCCGAATTAGAGCCCATGGTATCATGATTAGCTCAAAAAATACGTGTTTAGGGGGTGGGCGCTACCCAAGCACCCCTTAAAAGCTATGCAAATGACTATCACCATGTGCCAGATTGAGGGGAATACTACCTCTATTTTGGCGTAAATAATTTTGGTTTTTACAACAGCTACAATTGTGACAAGAAAGTATTATCCTTGGGTTACGGCGTTTTTTGGTACTACATGACATTTTTAACCACTTGGTATATTTTCAAGGTTAACGCCATGAAGCAAAACTGTGAACACATTGAAACTACTAGTATATTGAATCGAATTCGGAGTCATGCTATCCCGGTCGTATTTGGCAAAGTTTATTTACTTAAGCTCAAAATGGTAACCTTAATTTTTTTTTATAATCGCGAATGTATTAATTATGTGACAGGTTGTCAACTTCTCACTAAGTATAAATGTTTGTTCGTTTATTCTGCATATCTTCTAGTTTCATGATACAGCATTGAAAGAATTAACGTATTTGGCTTCAAGTGACAAACTATTTGTCTTGTTTTTACGCACCAGACGTTCGGACGAAGTCCGAGAACGGGAGCTTATGTCCGTCCTTGAATTCAAGAATTTGAATTTTATATTTAATATTCGCCAAATCAAGCATTTCTGCCATTTTGGTACCGAGTCTTTTCTTTCGTACATAGACAGTTATTGTCCCAACATTGAACGTAATGTGACCATAATGTTTTTTTCAGATTGGAAATGAAAAATTTTCAACAATTTTGTATTTAACGAATCCTGTTCTAGAACCATGTCTCTGACTTGCCTTGACTGAGTGCAATCAAACTTTTAAACTACATTGTACATCGTGTTGCATACATTCTATATGCCAAATCAAGTCTTTTAATTGTGAACCTGAATTTCATAGCTATTTTAAGTTCAAAGAGTAGGGCTATGGAAAAACTGTTCGGAAAAAAAATTCGGGTATTCTCTTCTTTTTTTTTCCTTTTCTTCGTTTATTTGATTTTTTTTCGCGACTTTTACCAGTTATTCGTGTCCCGAATTACGTCATATGACAATTACGTCACCATGCGAACACTGCACGAAAGCGACTTAAACGAAATATACTACTCGTTGTAATGGTGTAGACTGTTTTCTCGCACACTGGAGACAGGAACAGCATACATAGACCATCAGACAGAATGACCTTCAATTTAATGCAAAGATCCTGACAAGTAGGGTTGTTCTTTTTTTCACTGTTGAGAGAACCATGGAAGGTAGAACTAACGACACCGTATGAAACCCTCAAATTCCCATTATGCCTACTACTAAACAAACTTCAATTAAACGGTTTGTTGGTTTATTCATGTTATTAATTTATTTTCCAATTACAACCATTTTTTAGTTACATTTAAAAAAGACAAAATATTACCGGTAGTACCATAATGTATTAGCAGCACTGGCTCGCCACTGATGTGCAGAGACTGAGCGTAACTTTATATCTATTAGCCCAGAGCACCACAGCTCAGACTATCTACCTACTGATACCACCCTCCAAAATCGTCACCATCGTCATCTTTATACACCTTTTTGTAGGGTTTTCTGCCACGTTTATGAAGTACTTTCCAGTAGGTGGCAAAGCCTATCAGTAAGAGAGCGGATACCACCAAAAGTAAACCAACACCAAGTAGAATTCCGAAGAATCCTGTCCGCGCATTCTCTATATTTTCTTTGTCCTCTGATGTCACATACATATCAGACCCAGTTCGCAAAGCTACGTACAAATAAAAAAAGTCGCAATATAGATTAGATCATATCATCATGTAGTACCAACTATTAAATGATAAAAAAGTGAGCTTAGATAAAACATATTTCAGTTCCTTTCATTGTTGTCTGTGCTTACCATGGCAGCTGGAATCATTTCCACGGCAACTTTGAACCTCTACACTGGCGCCCTCACACAGTAGTTTCTTAATAGGCATAGAGTTGATACAGGTGTGTGATCGTGTGCGGTTGCCAAAACCACATGATGACGAGCAAGGTGACCATGACGACCACTCAGACCATTTGTGATTGGGTATTGGAGATTCTGTTTTTGCAACAACCAATGCTACAAAGAAAATCAGTCGATATACATTTATAATTGAATAGACTATAATAATGATTTTTATCATCTAATATACAAGTATTGAGATTAATAGACTTGCTTACGAGAAAAAGATGAAATATACACACGACTTCTGTTTTTTTTGATGTGAAAGTTTGAGTTGCTAGAAACTAACTTGTGTCGTTGAGGGCGCATACATAAGATACAAGTTGATTGTTTGTTTTTCGCAATCATTCCATTGTTTCACGTTTTTTATATTTTTCAGGGATTCTTTTTAATTTCCTAATTTTCAACAACAAGATCTATAAGCAAATCTATGAGATTATGCCGAAAGCTCACTTTCTCTGTGATAATGTGATATTTTTCAACTTACCATTTATTTATTAGTAAGCTGTATTTTGTGTATGTATGTATAAATAAACAAACTAACCTGTTTGTTGATTGTTGCATTCATCTGTTTCACAATTCTCAGTTTGCACCATGTGACCCTCACATATACCATTAGTGTTTGTGCAGAAACGACTACGTTCACGTATACCATCACAGCACACCTTCCAAGTACCCCAATCTGACCATCCTACATCAGAACAGATGGAATGTATTATGTACATATATGGGTACTGGTTTGCCATATATGGGTACTGGTTTGCCATATATGGGTACTGGTTTGCCATATATGGGTACTGGTTTGCCATATATGGGTACTGGTTTGCCATATATGGGTACTGGTTTGCCATATATGGGTACTGGTTTGCCATATATGGGTACTGGTTTGCCATATATGGGTACTGGTTTGCCATATATGGTACTGGTTTGCCATATATGGTGTGAAGTGGTTCGCCATAGATGGACTATCATGGACGTGGTCATCTATTATGAACTGGTTCGCCACGAGCATAAACATTCGTGTGGGAACTAACTCACCTCGCCCATAATTGTGAAATTGTTATTGGTTTACCACACAAGCACAAGATAAGAGCAGTCATACACGTGCATCACTATTACCTTGGTTTTGTATTGAATTACATTGGTCAGTGTCACAGTTTCTTTTTGCTAAGCTGTCACCATAACAACCAGACCCGTCTCCATCTGGGATGGGATTATTACATTCTCGATGTCTTTCTTGAACTCCTTCACAGCACAACGTCCATGAGGTCCATGTAGACCAACCCCCATCAACTTGAAAGGAGACACAATGAATTCTATCATTACTATTTCATAACTGTTTTGCATTGTCAAGGGATCGGAAGGGGGGTGTCAAAAAGAATGTGGCTTAATGTCTCTGATTTTAATTTCGTTTTTTTCGTTTGAAATCAACATTCTCTATTGTTTCCTCATATTATACTGTGAGATAACGCCGAAACTCTCTCGTCAATCGTGAGAAAGTAATTTGTAATCGAAATTTATTTACTTGTCATACAAGTTTGATGAAACTATATTAAACAACGCAATGCATTCTGGGAGAAAAAGGAAGGGTAGGAAGAGATTCGATATCTTTATTCATGGCTTTCATGAAAATCCTCCGTGACGTGATAAGAATTGCAATACAATCAATTCCGCAGTTTAAAAGACCAATACATAAATAATACACTCACCATTGTTTTTCCCGTCACATCTGTCTTCATCACAATCTCTAGTTTCAATGGCAATACCAATGCATTTCTCTCCGTTTCCTTGTGGTACTGGATTGTCACACAATCTGCGCCGTTCCTTGATACCATCGCAACACGGGGTGTATTGATTCCATGGAGACCATCCACCTGGAACTAACAAATTTATGCGCACAGATAGTCAACTCGTATTTCCTGGCTATCACAAAGATAATATTTATGATTACGTCAACGTCTACATTGAACGAAAGTACCCCCAACTAGATTAATATATAAATAACACACAGACACTACATAGCCTATAAGTACGCTCACCATCACAGAGCAGTCCAAAGCATTCAGTGATGTCTTCAGTGTCACCAGAACAATATGACGACTGACAAACACGGTGCCGTCGCATGAAACTCGTATCACACACTAATGGACACTCACTCCATTCGCTCCATTCACCCCAGTTTTCATACTCCGGGGTAACTGCTTCATGCCCATCTAAAATGTTGATACCTACAATGACAAGAGAAAGAATTTTAAAAATATGCCAGAGCCAAGGAAAGGAAAGACTTCAGATGCTGAAACAAAACACTTGATGTTTTAAATACAGAATAAGGACCAATTAAATTCTAGAAATCTTTTAGAGAATTCACGAACAATACAATGAAAAAAATATTGTATGACGAATGTTCACGCACTTTCAAAACATTAGTGAGAATTAAAGTACATCAATGAAAAGCTAGTCAAAAATGATGTTTAAACTGCATCATCATTTTTTTTACACATGTAGACAACAAAAATGGACCAGTAAGATCGCAAACTATAAATTAGGCTTGAGTACGAACTCAATCATGATTCTACATTCTCATTCGAACGACTCCCGGAAAGAAACTGTGTATTCATATCATAATATAACAACAGATTTTATTGGAAATAAGTCGTTCCACTGGTTTGCGTTATTGATTAATAACATTCCAATTGTGAAAACCGCCGTACCTAATGACTCATTATTACATAGAACTTTAGTGCACTGCTTAATATCCTCACTGTCACCAATGCAATCAAAATCTAGCGGCGCCTGGCAGGTGCGATTTCGTTTAGAATTACCCGTCCCACACGTCACAGAACACTGAGACCAGTCACCCCACTCACTCCATCGCAATGCATCTTGAACGGAAGCGTTGTTCTCAGGAGCAGTTACATCCTGCAAGATGCCGTTGTACTCTGTATGGAGAAAAACACAAATGTGCTAACATTATTTTTTCAATTTGTGTTATTAAGGTAGAAGCCTAGTCATAATTTTTGACAAAATTGGTCATAAATTGCATGACAATGTTCATTGGTTTATTATGTACAATCATAAGCTCATGTCCTATATGGTACAATGAAATACCATTACCATCACATGGCTCTTCATTGCATGCCAGTGTTTGTTCGACATCACCAATACACTCAGCAGTAGAGCCGAAGGCTATCTGACAAACACGGTATCGCCTGATGAAGCCAGTGCCACAGTGTACCGAACATTGCGACCATTCGCCCCAGTCATCCCACTGAACAATGTTGGTGACTTGATTATTTGCTTCTGTAATAGATGACGGTGGTGGTGATATTGTTACTGCCGGGATTTGCCATACCATAGGGACATGAGGCTCAGTTGTAGCATTCAGTAAAATATTATGTTCTGTGAAAATAAGAAAGTTATGATATACTACGTTATGCTATCACAAACCCATCCGTCCCATGATTACAATTCCAGAGCTCGACTAGCCTAACAAGGTTGCATGAGTTTCGCCCTCCGTGGTGCTCCAAACCTGATGCCGTTCGGCCGGCGAGGGCGCCACTCACGCCTACATGTCAGGCTATAACTCGACATGTTCCCACAATGTCAGTTACACGTGCCCATGGTAACATCCTCACCTCTACACGGACGTTTGTCGCATTCCATTTCCTCCTGGCTTTTACCAGGGCAAAAATACTCCGATGTTTCCTCAGGTCCAGTCTTACAAATCCGACGACGTGTTGTCATCCCAACTCCACAAGAAACTGAACACTGGGACCATTCATCCCAGTCGCTCCAGATTTCATTTGTTATCAGCAGATCCATATTTTCTTGGTTAACGTCACTCTTATTGTCAGTGGCAATTGTTGGTTGTGGAGGGACGTTAGCCGGATGGTCTGCAAAAAAATCAAAACCTGGCAGGTTTGTATGTTTTTCTTCAAACAATAATTAAAGCGGGACGGTCGTCACCTGCGCATGCGTGGGAATTGAGTCCCAAGCGACGATAACAACACACGTTAAAAACGCAAAGGCTCATGGGTAGACGCTTGTTTGTAAACGATGACACGCTAAAGCCATCTAACGCATGCGCAGGTGACAACCCTCCCGCTTAAAGCGATACTGGCGCCAGCTAGAATAGTGAACCGATTTGAAAGTTCTCATATTTCGAGTTCACTCTGAACACACGCAATTTGTTGTTGACATCAAAATAATTAGAGTTGATGACAAGAAATACGTTCAAACCTTGTAAATTGACATTTTGCGCAGCCTCCGTTGCAACTGACATTTCAAACTTTTTCTCTTGTTCAATAACTTCCAGTTGCATGGACACCTCATCGTCGGTGGCGCTGTTTTGCCCTTTTACCAAATCCACGACTTCGTCGACATCCTGCATTTGTTCAGCCAGCACATCTTGTACATGGAGACTTTTATTCATCAATAAACTGTGTAATAAATTCTGTTCTTTCAGCAAGTCATCATGACTATGCTTATATTCGACTTCCTTTTGTGAAATATCCCTAACTAGAGAAGCTAGCACCTCTACAATGTTATGGAACGTTCCATTCCACTGTTCGCTACCTGTGGCGGCGCAATCTAAGGCGAGACAATCTTCAACTTCCATCCATTCTCCCGGACACACTTCCTTTGACAGGCACAAGCGACCCCTGAACCGCTCGCCACGCCCACATATCACGGAACACTCAGACCACGTCTCCCAATTTGACCATTCAACTTTGCATAATACCATTCCTGCAAATGGAGATCGAGTTTTTAGACTGGCAATCGCAGTTTTCGGACATTTATTATATTGTAAAATCAGACAACGAATGAAACTCCATATGCTCACAAGCGCACGATGATTACTTTAGTTTCAGATTAGCATTTATATATTAGTATTTGGGACAATATTCAATTAATATGGCCCGCCACAAAGTGTTTGCACGCATCTTAAAGTACCTTTCTCGTTTTCAAGTTGTATATATTTTGTGAAACATCACCCCACAACCATACACAAAATGTGTAAAAATAATGTTTTTGTTAATAAATATGATATATTATAAGTATTTATTCTGTTCTGATCTACATAATTTATATCGAGAGTACTGTCGGTTCTTATCCCGTGGACAAAGAAATTTACAATGTATATGTACCTTAACTCGGAGTGTCACTGTTGTTTACAAATCTAACTTAATTTAGTCAAGGTATGGCACCTCACAAATTTGTAAAGAGTCGATAATACTTTAATAATAATAAAAAAAACTCTCGTTTTTTATTGTGTATTAGTTCATTCCTGCTTCGCCAAAAGTGTTCGTATGAAAAAAATGTGGTACATGGTTTTGGGCAACTATTACTGTAAAAGTCCGTTTCACGACTTCTGAATACCGGACAGTCTGAAAACTGATCCGGATATGTTATTATTTCGATACCATTAAAACATCGAAAAAAAAATGATCACAGTAAATCATTCAAAAATTGTTGTTTGATGCTTCAAATACAAACAGACCATTCATATTTAAAGTTTTCACGGAGAAAGAAGGATGTGTTTCCAAGAAAATATGCAAAATAATCTAAAAAAACAACAACCATTTTCCATATGATTTTTTGGATAACTTATATACAAATAATCAAAATTCTCCAATTCGTGAGAGCCATACGTTGCCCTCATAACACTACATATCATTTTTTAGAATAGGTCACCGAACAAAATTTCGAGATATGATGGAACCAATTGTAAATTTTGAATAGTTATTCAAAAAATGCATTTTGATAAATTTTTGAGAAAAACTTAGTTCGGTGACCTTATATTTTTCTTTCAGAATTTTGAACATTACAGTATCCCAACTCTTCTTGCTGGATTTCTGAATACTAGTATTTTTATGTAGCAAACTACCTTAACTATAAATCTATGATCATAGCGAATATATGAGAGCACGTACTCTCTAGCAGCATATTCCCATAATTGTGATAGCGATAGTGGCCAGCAACCGCCCTTCAATTGTCCTTACTATCACAACAAGGACATGAACTCAGAGATGGGTATTCAGCGTGATCTTTCTAAAGCGGTACCCAAATCAAATCTTAATTACGGTAATGTCAAAACCACACGACAAAGGTAGTATTGCTGTTTTGTAGACCCTCTGGTAAGTAAACGCAGAACACGTATACCATAAACCATGAATAATATATGTCAATTAACATTACTTACCTGCTGAAGAAAGAACCACGAAAGCAGTCCAAATCATCTGGTTCATCTTATATTTCTTCGTTTTATGGGATCCAAACGAATTGCGAAACCCCAGATACCTATTTTGGCGAATCGTCAATGTTTCATTGATGCAACCCCCTTCATCCCATCAGTAACCACAAATAACGTGTTCCAGGATGTTTTTGCATTTGTTTTACATTTTGTTAATTCGCATATCGAAATGCGACCAGATTTCAAACAAAACGGTGAGTTCCAGCGTCCTCGCGCATCGTGAAAACAGAACACGTACGCTGCACGCTAGCGGGGGTGATCGACTACGCGCGCCTGCCGTACGTTCCAAAAGTTGTTCCATGTATTCTAAAAACGTTCGCGTTCTTTATGTCAGGGCATTTTTACCGAGCGTATATGCTATTTTTTTCTGTTTTATGTTGTTTCAACTTACTTGATTTTCAAGGATATTGTATTCAACTAGTTTTGCACATGAATTCATGGAAAGAGTTTTAATCGGCCAGATTGTGCTGGTGGCCAGTCTCCTAATCTCCGTGTGGTGTTATGAAGGTAAGTGTCCAACCATCGTCTTCATCAAGCGAGACGTTATTGATTATTCTTTCCTTTGTGAAATCTTGATTTAATGTAGAGCACTGGAGAGCGGTCATATTCGAAACTTGTTCAATGTGTCTGATTAGTTTATTATTACGTCAACTGAGACAGGACGGTGGCGATATTTGCGACCTTCTCTGCTCGACGGGTTTACTCCATTTGCCGTTTTAGACTATACTGGTAGTTTATTAGCAATACGCGACTTTGAATATGCATATATATGCACTATCAAACCACAGGTAATTTTGGCACAGTAAAATAGTTTACCATAGCCTGTAAGTTGTTTGCGTTTTTCGAAGCCTAGTCGCCATCTAAAAAGATGGCATCGCAGAACTCGGGAAGTATGCAGTTTGGGCTATGATCTTCAGGTTGTATAATTAAAAAAAAAACATTAGTCCGGGATAATATTATTTAGTCAACTCTCGATGACTGCAGAAATCCTCATTGATTGTATTTAATAATGGGTTGGGTTACATGTATTAAATCTCAAAATACATAAATCATTCATTTGGGAAATTTAGAGGGAACTATCACGAAGAAATTCTTCTCTCTGGGGTTCTTCACACGTGCCAGGGGGAATCTCAACTCGTCTCTCAATCGCGTCCCCTTGAGGTACGGGATCAGGAAAGTCACATAAGCTTTACAGTCAAATAAACACACACAACGAAATACGGTTCAACTCTCGTCTTAGTCGATCTGCCGAGCACTCTATAAGACACAGCGCCCTGGGGAAAAATCCCCAAGACTATCGCAAGGCTGGTCCGAGACTCTGTCCAAGACTGTGTCAAGACTCTCTAGGACTGGACTCGTCTGTCGTGCTGTACTCGCCAAGACCAACTCAAACTCTCTTTATTCATTTTCAAAACTCTAACCAATTACAAAGCAGTAAAAGACTCTAGGGCGTAACTTTCAATGGGGGGGGGGCAAGGGTTATTTTCGTTCAACGTAATTGCAATATTTTTTTTGTTCGTACTACGTAAATTGAAAAAAATAAATTCCGTAATTC